CCCCAAAACCCCAAAACCCCAAAACCCCACTAATTAATTATTTGTGAATAGAATAATATTGATGAAATAAAGATTTTTTAATAAGATAAATTCAAACAAAGTCATTCAATAGAGTTGTCTACTGAGCGGAGTTGTATCTTCAAGCTGCCATTGCAAGTTTCTCTTTCTCCTTTTTCTAATATAAAGAGATAGCAGTACAATTAAGATGATGAAAAGTACTGATCCTCCAGCTATTAATCCAATTTACAACCCATTCAATCCATCCTGAACACATAGTCCATCTTAATAACTTAAAATATATAATTTTACCTGAGTCAGTTTTAAAGCCTGAGTTACAATATTTGCAAGTCTTGTCAGTCTTACAGTAACTACATTCGGATTTGCAATCTGAATCTGAATAGTAATCTTATTTTTCAATGTTAAGAGTCTCAAATTACGAAGATGATTTGCTCATTATTCCAATATAGCCTAATATCAATTAAATTCAAAGAATTACAAAATCCTGAGGAACCTTCTCTGACTTTCAATTAAAAGGTTGTAGAGTCAGGATCTATTGATTTATCATTATAATACTGATTTGGTATCACAAAATTCTTAGAGTAATAGACTTGGAAGTTCGTTGTGTCACTGCTGGTACTTTTGTCTATTTAGATTTATAAATCGCTGTAGGTTTGATCAGCTAATGGCGATAGTAATTAATAGTATTACATTCCTTGATTTTATTATCTTGTTGATATTTTAGCATCAATGTTTAGTTAGAAGGGTGATGTTTAGCTTAAAACTTTCAATTTGTACAAACTTTAAGATAGACTTGCCACACCATCGAATCTAAATGCTTAGTTATTAGCATCAGTAAGAAGTTTTAATGTATCATCTGAAATTATAGAACCAAGGCCAAGAGCATAAAATTTTACATTCAATTTAATCAGATCTGCCATTTTCTTAGTTTAAATAATATCTTAGTGATTGGTATCTGTAATGAAATAGATAATTCTCTTAGCATCCGGTCTGAGACTTTGTTCATTACTAAGGTAATTGATTGATCTCTAAAGAATTTCATATATATTTTAATTCTCAGGACTAGTATTAGCAGTTTTTATGTCATTAAGAATCGTATCTAGCGAACTACTAAATTATGAAATATCTCGTCTTGATTCTGAATTATAAGCAATCCCTATTCTATAGCCATATTCACTGACTTAGACACTATTTACAAATGAAGTAAGAAAGTCCTTCATTGTGCCAAAAGTCTTGCCATCCTTAAATGTGCTGCCCATTAGAACGAATAATAAACTTGTCTTCTATGACTCAGCCATTTAAACAATACAGTATTCTAGTATTTTACTCAAATATTTTCGGTTGACAATTTCTCCAATGAAATCTTCTGACTTTATGTAGTCAAGAATGGACTAATAATCAGAACGCAGTGCTTAATTCCAAAGCTTTAAATACTATTAGTTGTGTGCAGGGGTTCCATATATTTTTTGTAATGCATTTAGGACTGTCCTTGTTCCGATTGTTAGTTAATCTACAGCTGGTTTAGATTTAGAATCTACTTTTCCATAACTTTCCTCGTCATTAAACATGTTCTATTCATATTAGCTTTTAAGACTTAAGATTTCTTGAGTAAGTAGAGTATGGTCAAGTGCTTCAGTATCGGAATCAGAAAGCTCAAGTCTGTTTGCTTTTACAAATTATACAGGGTCTGATTTTTTACCTAAGAATGATGCTATTTTATTCACAAGGTTTTTATCTATTCCTAAGCTAATCAATTCATCTTAAGTTCTATTAGTCAATTCTAGACCAGTTCCAATCATTATACCTCTATTGTCAATTATGTTACAATCTTCATCTACTCTAACATATGGGCAATTGCAAGTGCCAACGAGTAATTTTGTTACACTTTGATCTATATAAGCTCCATCATTACTCTGGCAACCTTTGAATCCCATTGAAATATCTCCAACATCAGTAGGATATCTCATTTATTTCGAACATTAAAATTAGGAGCAACCGCATGGAGATTTTGAACAAGCTTCACATTCATTTCCTGATCATACTTGCTCAATAGATATCGTTAGGATTAGCAAACTAATTAATATTTTTGACTTATGTAACTTCATTTTTATTATAAAATTTATTGGATCTCTTACATCCCTATTTATTTTAACTTCTTGGGGTTTTGGGGTTTTGGGGTTTTGGGG